ATATATATGATTATATATATAATGGTTACTTTATATGACAGGCAGTGCATTATTTTTGGAAATGAAATCTTGGCTGGTATAAGGTGTACAGATATATTTGGAAAGGTCTAGCTAGAGGCATGGATGACGAGTCATTTGTTGAAAGAGAGCTGCTGGTGGGCTGGTGAGATGACTCAGTGGGTAAGAGCCCTTGCTGCCAAACCTGATGACCTGAGTTTGTTCCTTGGAGCCCACATGGTGCAAGAAGAGAACCCACTCCCAAAGTTGTCTGAATTCCATGTGCATGCATGTGCACACATGCAAAACTAATGAGTAAAGGAGTGAGCTGTGGGGTTATTCAGGCTTTGAGGTTTCATCTGAGAGGCAGAGCTCTGAGGTAGAGCACGGTTGGTTGCCCCCTGGTCCAAACCATACAGTCCCTCCTCCATGGGGCTCTAAGGAAGGAGGTCCAAACCCGCAACTTGTAAGCCCTTGACCATCACTCTCCCCCTACCCTGCTCATTCTCCTCTTCACGGTATATTGCTATCCCCTAGGTTGGCTGTCGTCCAGTGTGTTGCTGTTGTCTGGAACTCTTACCTATCGTGGAAGGCACATCAGCTCTAAGCCTGCCTGCTTCCGTGGCTTACGCCTTGCACTGATGCATCTTCACCCTGGAATGCTTGGACATGGTCCTCACAGAGAGCACATCAGGCCTGGCGGGTGGCTCAGCTGCTAACTAAGAACACAGACTGCTCTACACAGGGCCAAGTTTGGTTCCCAACAGCCATATCGGGTGGCTCACAACCACCTCAAGCTCCAGGAGATCCGTGTCTTCTGGCCTCTCGGGCACCTGCACTCACACGCACATACACATGAATGAAGACTTACTCATAAAGCATAAAATAAAGTCTTTCTTAAAAAGAGTCTCTCAGTTCCACAGCATGGAGGTGCTGATCAGGATGGTATTACCACTTGGGAACAGCGCATTTCACTCTAAAGATGTAACTGCTTATGAAATCACCAAGACCTCTACAACATTGTCTGTCACTCTGGCACTTACTGATGGGCGATGTGAGAAGCATGTCCTTTAGCAGTGCAGTCATTGTGTACACATCATAGAATATACTTAAACCGATAGCAACAGACAGATGCTTAGCATGGGCTCTGAATGCAGTGAGGTGTGTTCTGCTGCCAGTACACATGGTATACGGTTTTACAGGGGGGCTTTTTTTCATATGTAGTACATCCTAAAGTAATGATAAATATACCGAATTCACAAACCAGTGACATTGTATCGTTAAGTTGTACATACTGTACATCATTGCCCAAGCTGTCCTTCCATGTTACTGCAGCATAGTATGTTTCCACCAGCATCATCACATGGACGTGAATAATGAGCTGAACTACGCATTATGACAGCTAATGTTGCTTGGTGGTAGGAATGTTTTGGCTCTGTTGTCATTATATGAAGCCACCATGGTACAAGTTGTCACCATTGACTAAAAGGTCATTATGCAGCATGACTTCTCTTATTCCTACCACACAGTATATATCCCACAAATGCTTGTAGAATAACCTTGCCAACTTTACACCCATGTCCCAACAATTAATACCCATCCTTCAAAAAAAATACTCATCCCCCTCTTTGTTTTTTGAGACAACGTTTCACTGTGTAATCCTGACTGTCCTGGAACCTCCTCTGTTCACACTTCTATAGATACATCTTCCTATCCAGTGTTCAGGATTGAACTCAGCCTTGTGTACACTAATCAAGTGCTCTAACACTGAGCTACGTCCCTAACCTAGAACATCTTCACTAACTTTCCTGGGTCCCTGTCGATTGCGTTGGGTGGGCTACTCAGTCTAGGGGTTTGTAACCCACCCTGCAATCAGTTATTCCAGGGTCACGGAGGGGGCGCTACCTGGAAGGGAATGAGCTAGGACAGAAGAAGGAGGCCAAGCAGATTTGTCAAAGCCTCCATTTATTAGGATCATGGTTGCTGCTTATATAGCCCCTGAAGGGTAGGGAAACTGGACTCTTGCCGCGTGTTCCAGGTCACGTAGACCATAGGCCAGGAGGTAGGCCAAGAAGTCACGAGTTGCCATACCTGGTTCCCTGGATAGCTGGATTGTGTTGCGGGTTCCGCTAACAGATTAGCAGTTAATTGGGTGTGGGGCAGGTTCTCAATAGAACATAATTATGGGTGTGGGGTTCTCTGCAGACTCCCCAGGGTGATAGTTCCTGTAATGATTTTTAGGGGGGAAATGGCTTGTGACATATTCCCCCTCTCTTATATAAAGGCAAGCAGTTATTAAGTGGAGGGCACCAAGTCAGAGTCAACCCTGGTGTCAGATTTAAAAGAGAAGGGACTGGGACAAGTAGAGACCCTCCTCTCCAATGGTGAAGCAATTTACCTCTCCTGGGAACAGAGAGGTGCCCGATGATTAGCATTAGTTCCTTGGAGCTTCTCAAATAAAAGGTATCTAGCAAGACTTAAAGTAAGCAGATCTCAGGGCACCCTGTCTTAGGCCATGTGGAGAGCGTTTCTCGTACCTGGCACCATGCCATGTTGAGCCGGCCTTTACAGCCTCTGTATGGTGTGCTATTCAGGTGAGGATCCACACTAACTCCTGTCATTGGGCCCCTGAGTCTATCATTAATGAAAAGACTGTTAGGAGCTCCTCAAACCAAGGATATACTGATATAATTTTGGGCACCAATAACTCCATCTTCCAGACAAGAAGAAAGGGCCTTTTCCAAACCCAGTATTCACCTTTTAGTCTGGCCTAAGGTATCCTCTTTCCTAAATGCCTACTCCACATTAAAATTATGAGTGCTGTCTGCCAAAAATTAGTGCAGTGTAAAGGGATCTATATCTAAACTTTTTAACATATGCATTAAACCCAAATACTCTACAGCATGTGTCAAACCTTTTCCAACATCTATAAGCTGTTACAAATATCGTTAGATCAATTTCAGTAAGAGTACAATGACATACATTGTTGTTACTAAATACCACCAGTTCCAGTCTCTGAGCAACAGTGACAGGAACCCCAATCTTTCCCCTTCTTAAGTGAAGAGAGGTTAATATTTTAATTAAAATGAGTTTTGTGTCCCAAAGATTAAAGCAGTCTGATGTTTGGTCTGCACCTTAGCTTCAAAGCAAACCAGAGTTCAAACTGTAGAAGCAGTTCGCTTAGTATTTGTGCTTTAGGGCAGGTGGGATTCCAGGATGAGGTGAGCTGGATTCAGCTATCTGAAGCACATCCTGGCACTTATCTCAGGCGGGTCTCCCTGGACTCTGGAGGCAGGATGACACCCTGCAGAGTGGCATAGCAGGTTCTGTTATCAGGCACTCGTCTCCTTGGGAGCAGGAAAGGCCGGATCAAGGACCTCTCCCCAATCGCCTCTGGAAGTCCTCTAGGGATGTCTGCAGCCACGACTCAGGTCCAGATTTTTTCTTTCTGTGAAAAAACATAAACACATCCTCGACCCCAAATATATATAGGTCGGATTGTTTCATAATGTATTGCAAGGGCTTTTCCACCTTGCCCTAGCAAAGGTCAGCTTGGTGTTATCATGCCAGATCCGCTTGCATTAGGATCTGTTTGCAACTTTTATGAGTTGCTTTGAAGGAGTCTTGTTATGCTTCATAATTTTTTTATTATTAGCCATATATGCAGTTCTTCCATTGGAAGAGCCATTTGTAAAATTTTAGCATAAAATCCTTTAAGGGATTTTTTGCCATAACATTAGCAAAATACAGGTGTGTGAATTGTAGCAATGATCTGGGAAAAGACCATTGTTTTTGCCTTTGAATTGAGCAAAGGCAATTGTCCAGGAATCCATCTTAAAATTATCAATGAATCTATTATTTAGTATAAGAAACATTGATCATAGTCAATATTCTATTAAACCATTTTTTCAGATGTTATCCTGTCCTTTTATATCAGACAGGCTACTGTTCTAAATTAAGAGTTTAATATCTTAATTGGCAAAACTGGGAAGGTTTAGCCATAAACAGCATTTTTTTATAAAACTGTTGTAGAATAAGTTTATACTTAATATACATACTCTTGCCATAGCTGAATTATAATTAACATACTGTATTTGTTGATTATTGTATACTTTACCTGTTGATTTATACTTTACCTGTTTGAGTACCTGTTAGGCAGCCTGTTTAAGGCTTCTATTGGAAACTGTTTCTTGTAAGAATAAGAATTTTACCTAGCAGCTCAAGGTCTCCCATAAGAATATTATAAGTAGGGCTTTAACCATTGAATATCTAATTAAAAGTTTGTAAGCTATCCTCCTCTTAAGCTGTAAGTCTGCCTTGCAGATAGGAAAATGGAAAAAGGACGCATTTTAACTAATAATGCTGGCCTCATTAGACACCAACAAGTAGAAAAATGAAAATAGATCTATATCCATCTCCATGAACAAAATTCAAGTTTAAATGAGCCAAAGGCCTCAGCATATGGAAATTTATGTTGAACCTCACAGAGAAAAAAAAATTTTTTGAAGTACACTTTGCCACATCGTAAACACAGTCTCAGTGGCACAAACATTTTGAGAAACCATAAATTAGATCTCCTGAACTTGAGAACCTCTTGTATAACAAGGCTATAGAGTGGGAAAAGATCTTTACTTATCATAAACCCATTTCAAAAATATATGAAGAACTCAGGAAATTAGTTATTAAAAATTTAATCCAATAAAAATATTTCTTATAGACCTAAACTAAAAAAAACTCTCAACAAACAAACCCAAAAATGACTGAGAGACATCTAAAATGTTTGAATATAACATCCTTTGACTGTCAGAGAAATGTAAATCAAAACTCTGAGATTTTACCTTATCCTTGTAAAAATGACCAAGATTAAAAATTATTGTTAACAATCTATGATTAAGAAAACGTGGGTAGGGAAAAAACTTGCTGGAAGTGAGCTGCAGCCCGTGGCAGCAGTGGTGGCACTGGGAGCGGTGACCGGTGTTGGAAGTGCATAACGGCACAGTCATCCCTGGATCACATACAGCACTGAAAAATCCAGACTCTCCCAGCAGGAAAAGAAAAACCAAAAATCCAGGACTAGCCTGTGAGGGCACCAGACCTCATTCCAGATGGTTGTGAGCCACCACGTGGTTGCTGGGAATGGAACTCAGGGACTTTGGAAGAGCAGGCAATGCTCTTAACCACTGAGCCATCTCTCCAGCGCCTCCCAGCAGGAAGAGGAGAATCAAAAATCCAGGGCTAGCCTGTTCAGCGACCCTGCACCAGGAGCTAACTCAAGACAAAGCCAGACTGCAATCTTGAAATCACTGTACTGTTTTAGGAACTAGCTGATTATGACCTTGGGAGTGGTCCCGAGGGGCAGGGAGCCGAGCCCCTGTGACCATCACTGGGTTTTTGAAATTTTTATGACCCTCCTGGACCACTGGGCTGTGGTCTTTCTCCTCAAAAATTCCTTTTCCCGGTCACTCGGGGTTGAACTCCTCCCCCACCAACCAAGGCCATGTGTGTGACCTCAGCAAAGACGGCCTTTGGCAAGCCATGGGGGGGGGCGCCCTCCCAAGACCTGAGTGAGAGTCTCCCCAGCAGTGAGGGACCTCCATTATGTAAAATTAGGCAGATATCTACCTCAAAACTTAGCAGTACCCCTTTTGGGCCTAAATACAAAGTTGTTTAACCATACCACAAGGACACGTGTTCTGCCATGCCCAGAGCAGAACTACTTTATCATAGCCAGAATCTAAAAATAATCCAAATGTACTTCTTTTACATCTAGGATAAATGAGACATCATCCTTTTAAAATATCCATGAATACCACAAAATATCTTGGAGTAAGTTTAAGCAAGCAGGACAGAAGTTTTTGGTCCCGTCATCTCTGCCTGTGAAGGCAGAAATGTTTTTTATTTTTAACCATTATCACTTGTTTAGAGTATAACTCTGGCCCTTGATAAATTTAGTGAGAGGCCTGAGTCTCAGCAATCTAGCCTGAAGCAACACCTGGCAGCAGGAAAGGACCTCAAGCTGAAACATTACGACTCCCACCCAAGAGCGGGCCATACAAACGGAAAAACTTGTTGGATAAGAATTTTAAATCTTGAAAGATCCCCTACTTTCTTGCGAAAGCAGAAGAAACACAGCAAAAATGACAATTTCACTGAAAGCAGTCTACGGATTCAGTGTAAATGTCCATTAAAAATTACAGCAACATTCCTCACAGAACTCACATACAGATTTTATGTAAATGTTCATTAAAATTATAGCAAAACTTTTCACAGAACTCAAAAGAACAATATAGAACTCAAAAGAACAATCCTCAACCTTATACGAAAGAAATAAAAACTCAGGATAGCCTAAACAATTCTAAAAATCCTCTGAATGCATCACCTTCTGTTTTCTTCTTGTTGTCCCGGGACTGCACGATGTCGTCTGATAGCTAACCGTACTCCGAGTCACTGGTTCGGGCGCCACTGTTGATTGCATTGGGTGGGCTACTCAGTCTAGGGGTTTGTAACCCACCCTGCAATCAGTTATTCCAGGGTCACGGAGGGGCGCTACCTGGAAGGGAATGAGCTAGGACAGAAGAAGGAGGCCAAGCAGATTTGTCAAAGCCTCCGTTTATTAGGATCTCATGGTTGCTGCTTATATAGCCCCTGAAGGGTAGGGAAACTGGACTCTTGCCGCGTGTTCCAGGTCACGTAGACCATAGGCCAGGAGGTAGGCCAAGAAGTCACGAGTTGCCACACCTGGTTCCCTGGATAGCTGGAATGTGAGGCGGGTTCCGCTAACAGATAAGCAGTTAATTGGGTGTGGGGCAGGTTCTCAATAGAACATAATTATGGGTGTGGGGTTCTCTGCAGACTCCCCAGGGTGATGGTTCCTGTAATGATTTTTAGGGGGGAAATGGCTCGTGACAGGTCCCAGTGCCCCTTCAGACCCTCTTGGTGTCTTTATGGGCATAAAAATAAATACATTATTATCTGGAGTCTGCAGCAGTCATGGATAAAACCCTTCAGGAGACTACCAACGTGTAGTCTATAACTGAGAAGAAGTGGAGGCTATTCAAGCCTGGCCTTGATTTACAAAGACAGCTCGCACCACGAGCTGATGGCAGAGCAGGAACTCCAGCCCAAGTTTCCTCACTTCCTGCTTGGTGACCTTAACTAGAAGGCAAAACGGTGTACTAGTACTGTTTCTGTGATTTCCAGGGAAAGAGCTAACCTTGTCAAACTCAGGACAGACTGGCGCATTAAGTTCTGAAAGCCAAACACCTTTTTACGTCTTACACAATCTGACACCTGTAGATTTTAGATTCTACCGCTGTAAGATGGTCAAGAATCCTGACAGACCAGTTGAGCCAGCGGGCCTTTGGATGGGACGGTGTGATCTTACTTTAGGGACTCGATAGCCAGGCTGAGTCCTGTGTCTAAGGCAGCACAGGACACCCCTCAGAACTTCTGGCCAGATTCTCGGCTGCTGCGGATAAATTCAGGACCACGGACAGCTCCACGGTTCTGTTTCCCTCCCCCCCCCCCCACCCCCCTTGGTCCTGGAGAAGAAAAAAACTGGACTACTCTGTTCTGGAGACACACTCTGACTATTCTGTGTGGGGGAAGAACTCTACATCCGGAAAGAGCAATCTTTATGCCTCAGCCAGCTTCTCCATCCTCTACAGCCAAGGTGCTTCCAAAGCTGGCTCCAGGGTCAGGATGCGCGCCCCTCTGTGGGCTTGAAGCTGCTGGACTCGAAGCTGCCTCTGTCATTGCTTCTACAATCAGTTCATGTTCTTCGCTGACGTCAGTCGGAGCTGTCCTGGTGCTATATAAGGCTGGCGACGGTCCCGGGACAGACCCCGTGCTCCCCAAGGCGTCTTCAGCCCGTCCCGGGGGACAGAGACTGGAGCTCCATCTTGCACCGGGCAAACACTCCGACAACCTGTGAGTGGCTCGGAGCAACGATCCAGACTCCCTTAGCACCAAGACTCTGCACTCAGCCCACCCACTGCGACCCACCGGGAGGGAAAGAGGGAGAGGAGGGTGGAACTGGACTGGCTCAGCGGCTGGGGCTGATGGGCAGGCTTGTGGACACCAGGCAACAGCTGGAGGGTCCCAGCGGGGGCACTGGGCGTGCGCGAGAAGGGGCTCGTGTCACCTGCGGCGGCTCCAAGCGCACCTCACCCTATGCTGCCCCTGTGTGTTCAGGGCAGGCGGCACCATGAGGCAGAGGGGACGCGCTGCACTCCTAGTGGCACTGCTGCTCCTGGCACAGCTGCGCCCCGGGAGCAGTCAGTGGAGCCCGGTGACTGCGGAAGCGACCGAGGTCCAGGATCCGAATCTGCGATGGAGTCCTGGGACACGGAATCAGGGCGGCGGCGCCCGCGCGCTCCTCTTGCTGTTAGCTGAGCGCTTCCCGCGCCGCACGGGATCGGGGACGCCAGGCGGCGAGCGGCAGCGACGGAACGACCCTCCGCTGTCCATCGACCTCACCTTCCACCTGCTGCGGACCCTGCTGGAGCTGGCCCGGACACAGAGCCAGCGCGAGCGCGCAGAGCAGAACCGCATCATACTCCATTCGGTGGGCAAGTGATCGGCCTGGTGTGGGGCCCCGAAAGGCTCGACCCTTTCCCCTACATACCCCGGGGCTGGAGCTTGCGCGACCGAAGCTGGCTCAGTCCCGCGGTGCAGCGCCACCCAGAGTCACCCTGAGCACTCCGCGTGGCTATTTTTTAATAAAACTGCCCAAGAGTTTAGCCTCTATCTTCTGTCGTGGGGGGCACTGGCAACTAGGGAAGGGTGGAAACTTTTGGGGGAGTGGGGCTCCCCAGGCCGGTAGGATATACAAGCATGCTAAGTGGGGTGGGAAAGGTAGGCTATCAGTTAAGCCCCTGGGGGCTCATGGCCCCTTCCCCCGCCCATCCAAATCCGGGAACTCAGAGGTCCTGAGACCCACCCCAGACCCCTTTTCGAGGTCTCGGGCTTAGGACTCCACCTCTGGTGTAAAGGAGTTGCCCACGAGGGGGTTATTATTTCACCTCCACCCCTTCAAATCGTCTCAGGGCGGCGGTGGGGGGCAGACTGATGGCGAGGTTGCTTCTACAGCCGAGACTAGGAGTGGGCAGCGAAAAGAGCCAAGGACGTGGGATGCAAGAGTCCTTTATTGAGACCCTTCGGGGGGGGGGGCGGAACGCCGAGCTGGGAGGCGCGGTGGTCTCTGAGCAGACCCTCAGCATCCCTTGCCTCCCGCTACAGATGCGCGCTCTGGATCAGGGTCTGGTCAGTGCAGGCCTGTATCCGGAAAAGACAGCTTGGTGGGCGGGGATCTAAAAGAACAAACTCCCCACTCTCCGACAACCAGCTTTCCCCAGGTAGCTGGGTTTTACTCGCGGACCCACCATGGTCCCCAAAAACCGTGCGGAACCAACCGTGGGAACAGAGTGCGCTTTTCCGCGCGCGCTAGGGGGCGCGCTTTGTGGCTCCTATTGAGTGACACCGGAGAGAGCGTCCTGGTGCCGCTAGGAAGGCAATCGCCCGAGACTAACCACTCCTCACCCCAAAGCCCTCGTCCTACTCTCTCACCTTCTGGCCCTTCCAGCCGCTCCTCCTCCAGCCCTGCGTTGCTCTCGTCCCCGTCTAAAGCCACCTCGTCATCCTCTTCATCCCCTGCGGCGCCTAGGTGGAAGGCAGGGCTGGTGATGTGGAGCCCCTGCTCCCCTGGTTGGAGCGCCCACCTCATACCCTTACGGCGGGTCTAAACTCCCTCAGCTCCCTCACCCGGCTGGAAGTCGATGGTCCGCAGCATTTCGGCCACGTGCTCCACGCTCACAGAGAATTGTTCCATGCTCTCATAGCCTGGCTCCGGCCGTCCTGCCAGCTCCACCTTCGACATTGCCCCGACCCTGTGATGGCCACAGGGCTCAGCAGAGGGACTCCTCCACTTCCTCAAGCCCCTCCCCAGATTAGATGGAAGGAAGCCACAGGGTCCCTTCCTTTCCCACCGTGCAGACCACTCACTTGTTGATCAGCTCCTTGGCCTGCTGCAGGGGAGAAAAGGAGGGCGAAGGTGAGCGCTGCGCCAGCCCCGGCAAAGCCCCATTTCTGATTCTCACCAGTCCTGCGGGGTAGGTAGGGGCGTACATCCCAATTCGTTAAGGAGAGAGAGAAAGCGCGCGCGCGCGCGTGTAGAAGGGTGACTTTTCCCAGGTCGTGGTGACAAGAAATTACCACAGGTAAGACTTGGCCCGGCTACCCAGGCCCTGATTCCCGCCACCCTGGGCGCCTGCCTCCCTCCATCTCCGCCCACCTGGAGGTAGAGAGCCATCTGCGGCTCCTCCATGGATTGGATGGCGGTCTCCACCAGCTTAGAGGAAACCTCCAAGTGGTCTCCGTACTGACGGATGAGGCCTCGCACGCGCTGCAGCTTCTCCTCCTGCTCCCTGGCCAGCGCTTGCAGCAGCTCGCCCTTGCGCTCCTCCAGCACCGAGCACAGGGTCTCAAATCTCTGGTTTAACAGTTGCTTCTGCCTGCGACTGTTGTCCTGAAAGATTAGAGCAAGCCTGAGGGAGGTCGCAGCTGGCAGGGTATTTTATCCCTCTCCACCCCTTAAACAGAACTCAAGGAAAGTCCAGAAGGAAGGTGTGACTTCCTTCCACGCACAGAATCCAGCTCAGATTTTTTCAATTAACAATGACAACAACATATTTCAAAGCTATTTCTGGGAGCCATGTATGTCACTGGCCCTGGCTTGGCTTGGCATTAATTGCCACTTACTTCATAAAGGAAATAAAATGAGTTACCATCAGCATTATTTTAAAAGACTATTTGAGTTTTATATTTTTAATTTTTTGCTCTGCTATGAAATTAAGCTCTATTTTTAAATACAGACATTGGTTAGAGAGCTGGAGAGGTAGCTCCAGCTGTTAGTGTTTCTGCTCTTGCAGAGGTTCTGATTTCTGTTCCTATAGCCATGCCAGAAGGTTCACAGCTACCTGTAACCCCAAGAGATCCAACAAGCTCTTCCGGCCTCTGCGGGAACTAACAGTCATGTGCACATGCCTGTACACACACAAATATACATAATTGAAAAGAAAACAAGGAATCTAAATTTCTAAAATTCATTGACTGGAAATACTCTCTCAATATTCAAATATATTTAGTTAATATGATATAATAAGGGCATATAATTATTTCTCACCACATAATTTTTAATTAAATGTATTCATTGACAATTTCACATATATATGTGTGTATATAATCTGATTACTCTCACTTCCCAGCCTCTTTTATCTTTTAATATTTATTTTGCTTATTTATTTATTTCCACAATTTTAGTTGTATTATTTTCAATTAAGTATATGTGTGTGGTGTGTGGGTGCCCATGGAGGCCAGAAGAATTGAATTCCCCTGGAGCTGAGTTACAGGCAGTTTTGAGACCTGCAGTGTGGGTGCTGGGAACTGAACTCTGGTCCTTTGCAATGGCAGTTCTTTCTCTTAACCCCTGGGCCATCTCTCCAGCCCCACTCACTTATTTTTGGTATGGGTCAAGTGGGCCTTTGATGAGAAATCCTCCTGCCTCAGCCTCAGGGTGCTGTCATTATTGTCTTGGGCTACTACACCCTGCCTGCTTGCTTATTTATTTATTGTTTATTTATTTATAGCTAGGATCTCCATAAGTCGTCCAGGCTGGCCTGAAACTTGTGCTTATTCTACCTCCACCCCTCGGACTATGGACTGTTCTGTCCCTTGTCCTCCCAGCCCAGGCTCACCTCAATGGTCTGGCACACCTCCTCCATCTGCGTGATCACTGCTTGCACGCGGTCATTGCCTGCCACCAGCATCGCGATGCCATCGCTCAGCTCGCTCTGTCACACACATGGGCCAGCTCTTAGAGCTGGAAGCTCCCTCCAGCAGCTGCTTCCCTCTTATCCCATGGGATTGTCCCCACCTCACCCATTCAAGGACATCTACAAAGATCTAGAAGCTTGGGAGCACGTTCTGTGGGTTCTAGAAGTCCCCCACCCCCAAATGTGAAGACACGTGACATTCTCTAATCACCCACTATATACCAGACTGTCCTAGGTGCTTTATCAGTAGCCATTAATTCTGAAAAATACTTAGGGCTACCCATTCAATTAACACTGCCTCCCTTCTATTCCTGCCATTCTGCGAGTCAGGTAGGATCACGTTAGAGCTACTCATCTTTGACCTCCTGGAGCATTCTGGGTTGGTGTGCTGTTTGCACTCTTCTCGTGCAGTAGAGAAATCCATCACCCGATCCATTCACTGGGTTTTCAAGAGTTGTTGATTTCTAAAGACTCTACTTTGTTCCTTGCCAAATCTATTTTCCTGTTTTTGGTTTGTTTTTCTTGGATTGGACCTTTTTATATTGTCTAAACTGGCTTTGAATTTATGATCCTCTAGTCCCAGCCTCCCTAGTAGCTGGGGTTACAGTGTACACCACAACAGGCTGTCGTATGGTCATTTTACATATGTTTTCAGTTCTGAAAATCTATCCAAGATTTTGTGCTAGGCAAGATTTTGTTCATCTCCAATCCTACCTTTTGCTGTTATCTTATTTCATCTTTATTTTTCTTTAACAACAGGGTCTCCTTATATAGTCCAGGCTGGCTTGGAATTCCTTATGTAGCTTAGGCTGGCCTCATACTAGAGATCCTCCTGCATCCGTATCCTAAGTGCTGTAACTGCAGTGCTCAACCATGCCTGGCATTATTCCACCTTCTAAAAATGTGTGCATAGTGGATTTCAATAATTCCAGCATCTGAATTCCCCAAGTATTGCAGCCCGAGATGCCAGCTCCCACGACCTCACCCAGGGCTGCAGAAAGAATGCCTTCAGAGTAGTGGGGCATAGAGAAAATTCCTATCCATCTGAGGGTCTTAGAGAAGGATCACATTCTGACAGTAATTTAAGAAAAAAGGAAGAAGCACACACTTTCCTGAGGGTAACTTTCTCTTTTACTTCATCTTGAATAATCGCTTTCTTGACACTCTCTACAGAGTTACATCTCTTTACATACAGCTACATCTCGTTCTTCACACATCCCTCTTCTATATACACTTCTCTCTACTCTGTGACATTTCTTCACACACTGCCACATTCTCCTTTATATCTCTCACTCACACTATTCTCAATTCATACACACCTCCACTCTCACACACACTCACTCACATACCTCCATTCACACACTCTCACAACACTCATTCACTCACTCACTCACTCACTCACACAAACCATTTACACACTCACACACTTCAACTCACAACACACACACTCACACCTCCACTCACACACTCATTCACACACCTCCATTTACACACTCACACACATACTAACTCACACACCTCCATTCACACACTCACTCACACACACACTCGTAACACACCTCCACTCACACACACTCTTACACTCACTCACATACTCATTCACACACACACAGTCACGCATAGTCACACACTCACTCACACACTCGCACACTTCCTCTTAGAACAAACTCTGGACAAGATGTGAGTTACACTCTCAGGGTCAGTTAGCATTTCTTGAGTAAACAGCTGAGACAAAACCATTCTGATACACAAGGAATCATGTGGTTTCTCTCAGGCTTAGAATGTCACACTGACCAGCTGGAAATGAGTAACCATAGCAACACTCAACTGTGCAGGCAGGAGGCATGGTCTGTCTGCATGTAGCCTGAGAGACATCATGGAGAGTAACATTGAAATTCGGGACCTAAGCAATAAACAGTTGGCTGAAACTTGAACCTCGCATCATAAGAGTGAGGTTTAGGAGTCCATGCAGAAAGTCAGTGACTGTGGGGACTTGTGTCTTAATGTTATCAGACTGACTTTAGGTCAACAGACACCTGGTAACTTGCCTGTGTGCATATTTTGCACAAGCAATTGGTCTGTTTTGAATTTGTTTTGAGGTCTAAAATCAGCTAATGGTGTGTGAAAGGCTGTCTTTGTAACTGAGAACAATGCAGTTTTCCTGTATCAGTCTGGGCCATGAAGGATTCTAGTATTATTTCTATTCATCAAACTTGTGCACACACTTAAGCAGACATCACCTTCCTGACCACCCACAGCTATAAGTGTGCCCAGTAGCCGGAACATACACGAGATAAGCACAGGCAGTGGGGAAATACCCACAGATGTTTTTAGGGAGGGAATATAGGCACAGGAGAAAAATGAAAGACAGAAGCAGCCAGTTTTCAGAGTCCGTGGCCCCGTAAGCCTTGATGAGGTTTTCTCCATGAGTTTGACTCATCTGGTGGGTGGACACCTGAACTATCAGTGACCATCTGCTGTGTATTCTGTGACCTCTGGTCAAGGCACTGCTGCCAGCAGCTCTCAGCACCCCGGGGTCTGAACTGTCATTGCTCTGCTCGCTGTGCTCACAGTCCACGCCTCTGTATGTCTTCAGCTGTGAATGACTGATTGGTTGGTAGGAATCTAAGGTCAGCCTAAGGGTCTACACTGAAGGGATCTTCATCCAGCTTAGAGTTTGCATCTCTTTCTGTCAAAAACCAGGCAATACAGTTGACTGCTTTGATCGCCTGGGACTCCCACATGAGCTGAGGTGTTAGGAGTCTTAAAAGGCATCCCTCCCCACACACCTTTGGTAGGTTTCATGATATAACCACCTGACTCTAGCCAGCATGGTCTTCTGAGAAATGATATTCATTCTGTTTGCAGTGGCTCTTTGATCCTGGTCCCCCCCCCCACTTTCTTTTCACATCCCAACCAATCTGACAGCTATGGAGAAGCTAAAGGCGTGGCTAAAGACCCCTGAGGGCCTGGTGATGGTGGCGCTCGCCTTTAATCCCAGCACTCGGGAGGCAGGCGGATCTCTGTGAGTTCTGTGAGCCTGGTCTACAGAGCTAGTGCCAGGACAGGCTCCAAAGCCACAGAGAAACCCTGTCTCGAAGAAAAAAAAAAACCCTCAGGGTATGCAGTCCTCTGTGTTGTCGTGGCTACTGTCATGCATTAGCTAAGGCTATGGTGACAGCAACCGAAGTATTCAAGATAAGTGAAGGATGTCAGGACCAGGGAGGTCAGGTGACTCCTTAAGGTTGCGTGCAGACTCAAGAGTAGACCCGTGGCTTTGGCCGGCCCTGATCTGCTAGACTTCACCTGAGCAGAGTGAGAACTGCCCTATCCTAAACCCCCTTCCCGAGTCCCTCCCTGGCCAGATACCTTCTGGCGTTTGTAAATGGTGGGCAGAGGGGCCACCTCGCAGTCCTTGTGGGCCCCGAAGACCTTGCAGAGAGAGCAGGTGGGCACCTCGCAGCTCAGGCAGTAGATGTTGATCTTCTCATCCTCATGCTCCTCACACATGAGGTGCTGCTCAGCCTTGGAGTGCAGCGGCCTGAGGACCATGGACAAGGGAGTAGCGATTGTCAGGGAGCCAGGCGTGACTGGCACTGGGGAAGAAAAGAGCCTCCGAGGAAGACTGGGCCCAAGAAGAGTCTATTGCAGGGGACAAAGAGGCCCCGCAGGACAGGAAGTTGTGGGAGCTGGTGAGGTCAAGAACTTTGGGGTGGGCTTTGGTCACAGACCAGAGGGAGTAAGATTGAACATTTGACTCCAAAGACAAAGCCAGGCAGCGGTGGTGCAGGCATGCCTTTAATCCCAGCACCTGGGAGGCAGAGGCAGGTGAATCCCTGTGAGTTTGAGGCCAGCCTGGTCTATAAGAGCTTGTTCTAGGACACCTAGGACTGTTACACAGGGAAACCCTGTCTTGAAAAACAAAAAACAAAAAACAAACAAACAAAAAAAGACAAAATTCGGCCTCCCTGGGTAGGAACCCAATCCCCTCCTCTTCTTTCCCCATTGTGTGTGTGTCCCTGTCTCCCATCAACCGCCCCCCCCCATACTGGATAGTTTTAAGTCAATTTGATGCAGCTAAAGTCATCTGTGAGGAAGAAACCCCAATTAAAATAATGTTTCCATAAAATGGGGCTGCAGGCAAGCCTGTGGGGCACTTTCTGAATTAGTGGTTAATGGAGGAGGGCCCAGCCCACTGTGGGTGGGGCCATCCCTGGGCGGCTGGTCCTGGGTTCCTATAAGAAAGTAGGGTGAGCAAGCCATGAGAAGCAAGCCAGTAAGCAGCACCCTCCATGGCCTCTGCATCTGCTCCTGCCTCCAGGTTCCCGCCCTGTTTGACTTCCTGTCCTGACATCCTTCCACGATAGACTATGATGTGGGAGCATAAGCCAAATAAACCATTTCCCTCCCACGTGGTTTCTGGTCACGGTGTTTCATCACAGCAGTGGTAAGCCTGACTAAACAGCCCCTCTAATCCCTGACGGTGCAGGCTCTTCCCTCCAGAGAGGCCAGCAGCCAGACATCTCACCGGGAGGATTCCTGCTTGTAGATGTCAATAATGTTCTCCACCAGGAGGTTCCGCTGCAGGCCGTAGACCCCATGCCGGTCCAGGACAACCTCATGCCTGCAAGATGGGCAGCGGAAGCGACCGCCCGAAGATACAGTTGTGGAGCCCCGGGATTGCCACAGAGGGTTAGAGGCCTGCGAGGACAGGAGACAACAGAAGCATAGTGAGGCATGAGGGAAGTGGTGGGCGCAGGAGTGGTAAGGAGGAGGCATTAGCTCTTCTCTGCATCTGATGTCCCCCAGGAGCAGTCTGACAAGAGACTAAGATGGCTTCCTGCCTGTCTCTGCTTCATTCCTCAGCCCAGCACCTTGAGTGTCCTGCATGCAGAACCTCACTTTGGCCAAGGCCTGAGCAGTATTGATTCTCAGTGGGGTCCAGCATGGAGCTTTGGCAGAACGCTGACACAGACAAGGGGCTGACAGCATCACCAGTGTCCTCCAGCTTGGACCCCTATGGGCCACATGTAAGGTGTTTTGTGTGTGTGTGTGTGTGTGTGTGTGTGTGTGTGTGTGCATGTTTCACAAGATCTTGTAAGGTTATCTCAAACTCGGTGTATAATGGAGGATGACCTTAAATGGGATTATAGATGTGTCTCCCCCATTACCATCTTCTCTCTCCTCTCTCTCTCTCTCTCTCTCTCTCTCTCTCTCTCTCTCTCTCTCTCTCTCTCTCCATGGTCTTGTGTAGTCACAAAACTGGTCTTGAATGTCTGTGTACCTGCCCCCGCCTCTCTGATGCTGGGATAATATACTGGACACTGAGAGAGCTTCTCTCTAGTCCTGGGCAGAGGCACACACACGCCAGGTGCTGAAGAGTGGAATAGAGAAATTGCGACCAGGGTCTGGGATGTGGCTCAGCTGGAGAGTGCTCGTCTAGGTTTGATCTACAGCACTATATAAAGAGGGCATAGCAGTACAGCTGGGAGGTGGAGGCAGGAGGATCTGAGCCAGTGAAAGTTCGAGCCGTCCTTTGAGATCACCCAAGGCCAGCCCGGGGTGCATGAGGCCCTGTCTAAAAAAGAAAAGGAAAAGAAAGGAAAGGAAAGGAAAGGAAAGGAAAGGAAAGGAAAGGAAAGGAAAGGAAAGGAAAGGAAAGGAAAGGAAAGGAAAGAAGGAAGGCTGGACACAGCGATGCATGCCTTCAATTCCAGGTGGATCTACATGGGAGGATAGCCATGTTTAGACAGCCTGTCTCAAAAAAAAAAAAAAGAAAAGAAAAGAAAAGAAAAAGAAAAAGAAAGAAAGAAAAAAAAAAACTACAATTAGCTGGATAATTGTGGGAAGTTGCTTCCGGCACCGTGAGTCAGGACACATAGACCCTTGCACAGCCCTTGACAATGCTTTCTTCTGAAATCTATCCAGTATTCAGCATTGGTAAAATTACAGGCTGCATGGGATTGCTCACTTTGTGTCTGACGTTGTGCGAAGGCTAGAGCAGTTACAGGGACGTCGCAACGAAGGCCTAGTGAGTATTGATTCTCAGTGGGGTCCAGCATGGAGCTTTGGCAGAACCCTTACACTGTGTTTCTTAGAGATCTGCTCCAGGCGACCCTAAAGGTGTATCCTGCTACCACAGAGCTGACTGATGGTGATCACCTGACCCGATGCAACCAATCAAGGGTTCTCTCCTTGAATTTGGCTTGAAACGCAGAAGCCAAGCTGACTACTGTAAAGGCTCATGGGATTGGGCTAAGAACTCGTCTGGAACCCACGTTGTAGGAGAGACCCCCTATTCCACAGTTGCTCTCTGACACCCACACCCACTGTGTCATTCACTCACCCACATAAGTAAATAAACGTAAGAAATATATATAAAGCATTTTTAAATCTTGTTGTTTTTCTTTTTTTTTTAAAAAAAAAATCTTTATTTACTTATTATGTATACAGTGTTCTGTCTGTGTATATGACTGAAGGTCAGAAGAGGGCATCAGACCTCATTACAGACGGTTGTGAGCCACCATGTGGTTGCCGGGAATTAAACTCAGGACCTCTGGAAGAATAGCCAGTGCTCTTAACCTCTGAGCCATCTCTCTAGCCCCTTGTTTTGTTTTTCAATACAGGGTTTCTCTGTAGCTCTGGTGCCTGTCCTGGAACTAGCTCTTGTAGACCAGGCTGGCCTCGAACTCACAGAGATCCTCCTGCCTCTACCTCCTGAGTGCTGGGGTTAAAGGTGTGCGCCACCACTGCCCGGTTTATATAAATCATTTTTTGTTGAGAAGCAGAGGTAAACAACTGGCAGGGATGCTCCTGCGTTCCTTTCTTCAGAAACAGATGGTCTGAGTTGGCAAGACCAGTAGTATAAAGACCGCGTCGAGGCCCCTCCTGGCGGGGTGTGGCAGGTGACTGCTCTGGAACCACAGGTACAAAGGTTTTGTGCCACGTTGGGAAGGAGCCACACCCTCTCTTTTTCATTTTTCCTTTTCTCCTATTTGTTTTTTTATGTTTTTTTAATATTTTATTTATTTATTATGTATACAGCATTCTGCCTCCATATATGCCTGAAGGCCAGAAGAGGGCGCCAGATCTCATTACAGATGGTATGAGCCACCATGTGGTTGCTGGGAATTGAACTCAGGTCCTTAAAGCCCTTAAAGCCGGTTGTTTACAGTAAAAATCCCAACCTGATCAGCTAGAGCAGTGGTTCTCAACCTCTGGGTCACGACCCCTTTGGGAACTGAATGGCCCTTTCACAGGGGCCACCTAAGACTATTGGAAAACATAGATATTTACATTTTGATTTATAACAGTAGTGAAATTAGTTATGAAGTAGCAACAATAATGATATGGTTGGGGTCACCACAACATGAGGAACTGTATTAAAGGGTCGCAGCGTTAGGAAGGTTGAGAGCCACTGAGCTAGAGAATCATGAGCTCATAGAACAAAGGAAACAGTAGACCCCTTGACTTGGCATATCTCCAGGGGGTTTCCAGTGGACTCCTTGTATACCAACCGGAGGATGGGACAGGCGGGACCCTCAGAGGGTAAGGCAATATCCAATATTCCATGGCTGTGGGGAGCTGGGACAATGCAGTGTTGTAGGTCTGCAGCCCAGTCATGTTGGGCTGGTTGTAGTTCTCTGCATGGCCGTCCACTGCTCTGCACAGCCGTCCACTGCTCTGCACGGCTATCCACTGTTCTGAACAGTCATCCACTGCTCTGCACGGCTGTCCACTACTCTTCACAGCTGTCCACTGTTCTGCATGGCCGTCCACTGCTCACCGCTGCATTCAACCTAATATCCATCCCTGTGGCTACTGGGCAAATTCCTTTTGTAATGTACAGGCATACCACGGGCTTCCACTACCTCCCCAAATTAAAGATGTCATCCAATAACACCCGGCGCACATGACAGAGATTTCGCAACTTAACTGTAACCCCCTTACCTGATGTTTCCACAAAGATATTTTATTTTATTTAAAAAAAAATTGAAACTGTCTCACTATGTAGCTTTGTCTGTCCTGGAACTCATTCTGTAGACCAGGCTGACTTCAAATTCACAGAGATCCGCCTGCCTCTGCCTCTCAAGTGCTGGGATTCTGATTTTTCCCTCTTGAAGTAAGAAAGAATTTAACTGAAGCTCGCAAATGAGATACTTGATTTTTTTTTTTTTTTGAGACAGGGTTTCTCCATAGCTTTTGGTTCCTGTGCCTCCCGAGTGCTGGGATTAAAGGCGTGCACCACCACCGCCCGGCTGAGACACTTGAATTTTAAAAGACTAGATTTTAAAAGAGATTGATCATTTTAAAGGAACTGAAATTGTAATGTGTTTGAATATGTAAAGACTGTGGTACTTTTAAAGTTATTTAACATCTTGAGGATGAATAAGAAAGGAATGGTTGTGGCTTAATAGTGATGTATTTGTGTGTTTGTGTGTCCGTGTGTCAAGGGGTCAGTTGTATTGTCTGGTTTTGTGTGTCGACTTGACACAAGCTAGAGTCATCAGAGGAAGGAGCGTCAGCTGAGGAAATGCCTCCTCGAGATCCAGCTGTAAGGCATTTTCTCATTTAGTGATCAACGGAAGAGGGCCCAGACCACTGTGGGTGGTGCCATCCTTGGCTTGGTGGTCTTGGGTTCTATAAGAAAGCAGACTGAGCAAGTCATGAGGAGCAAGCCAGGAAGCTTCCCTTCATAGCCTCTGCCCTGTTTGAGTTCCTGTCCTGACTTTCTTCAGTGATGAACAATGAGGAAGTGTAAGCCACATAAACCCTGTTCTCCCCAGCTTGCTCTTTGGTCATGGTGTCTTGTCACAGCAGTAGGGACCCTGGCTAAGACAAGTTGGTACCAGTGCAGTGGGGTGTTGCTGGGACTGACCTGGCCATGATTTGGGGGAGGTGTGTGGAAGGACTTTGGAACTTTGGGCTAGAAGAGCCACTGAGTGTTCAGAGCTCAGTGGGATGTTCCTTAGGAGCTTGGAAGATGTTAAGAACAGGGCAGAGGATGGAGGCCTGGCTTGTGAAGTTTAAAGACTCTCAGGGGGATCCCGTGGATCTAATTACCTGGGGCTGAAGAATCAGCTGTGGTTAACAAGATACCAGGACTACTAAAGCAAAACTTGTTTGCTGGGATACTCGATGCTGGTCAGCTGGAGCTAAGAAATGAGCAGTGGTTAAGAAGAGACCAGTCTCACTGATGTGAAATCTTCCGGGAACTGTTTCCAGAGCACAGAGCAGCTATGCTACAGGCCACCAACAAAACTTGCTACTCTCCCTCTTTGTCCTTTCTCTTCTTGACATTCAGACACTTGAGACTCACTGTTAGCATTCTACCCGGTGCTGAGGGCCTGCTGTGGTCAAGCACAGGCTCTCTAGGCTTCCCGGATGTTGTTGAGTCTAATCTAATCGTCAAGAGCTTTTTGTAAAGACAGTGGACAAACCTGGCCATGTTGCTGCACACCTGACTTGTGAGGCCGAGGACCAAGGCCAGCCTGGGCTGTAAGAGACCTACTCTACAAAAGGGTGTGTGTGTGTGTGCGTGTGTGTGTGTGCATGAGTGTGCGTGCATGTGTGAGTGTGCGCTCACGCATGTATGCATGCATGCTCTGAGATACCCCAGTTGGTAAAATGCTTGCCTCACAAGCATGGGGATCTGAGTTCAAAACCCAGAACTCACGAAAGCACGGGGCACGGTGGCACAT